TTTTTTTTTTTTTTTTTTAAGAAGGGCTTGCTATGCAGCTCAGACACATAATGATCTCCTGTCTCAGCCTCCCCAGCACTGGGATTACTGGCGTGTAGCACCATATCTGGTTTCAGGGGCAGCATAACGCATTCAGGGGTCTGGGGCCAGCACTGCACAGCATGTGGTACCAGTTATCAAACACGGATTTTTGAGCTTACCCAGCAGGCATTTGGATTGCTGAGCTATCTCCCCAGCCCTGCTGTGGATTTTAGATTGTCATAGAACTCACAGCAACCCTCTTGCCTCAGCCTCCCATGTGCTGGGATTACAGATGTGTGCCACCCTAACCAGTTCACCCTATTTTTAAGTACTATACATGTTTTGTTTTTGGTGGCCCTGGGGATTGAATTCAGCACTGAGATACATCATTCTCCTTTTTTAAAATTTCAATTCAGGGTCACACTGCATTCCCAGAGTTGGGCATGTATTTGTGACCTTTCCTCTGTGTTCCACAGTGCTGGGATTATGGGTATGCACTACACTTTCTGGGTAACATTGTTTATTGTAATTTACAAAAAGTGGCCAGGCACAATGGCACAGGTATGTGATCCTTGCTATTCCAGGTACTGAGGCAATAGGATTCCAAGTTGGAGACCACCTGGAGCAATTTGGACCTGTCTTAAAAAAAATAACAGGGGTTGAGGGGCTGGGGAGATGGATCAGTGGAATAAGTGCTTCTCTGGCAAGTGCAAGGGCCTGAGTTCAATCCCTGGCTCCAAAAATAAATAAATAAATAAAATAACAGGGGCTAACTGGGTGTAGTAGCATAAGCCTGTAATTCTAGCATTTGGGAGGTTGAGACAGGAGGATTGCTGTGAGATTGAGACCAGCCTGGGGGCTACAAAAGTGAGCACAAGGCCAGCCTGAACTGCATAGCAAGACCCAGTCTCAAGAAAAAGAAAAAAAATAATAACAGGGACTTAAATGAGCATAGTGGTGAATGCGGAAAGCTGAGGCAGGAGAATCACTGCAAGCTGGAGGCCAGACTGAACTACATAGCTAGATTCTATCTCAAAAATAAATAATGAAATAATGGGAATGGGGAAGTAACTGGTAAGAGTGCTTGCCTAACACATACGACCCTAGGTTTGATCCCCAGTAGTGCTTGGAAAAAAAAATAAGTTTTTAAGGAAAAGTTCTGTGTTAGTCACAAAAGCCAATCATTTAGGGATGATTCATCCCAAATTATGTGATCATTTTTGGTGCATTGCATAGTCATAATGCTCTAATTTTTACTTATTTAACATTTGTCTAAGTACTTTTATATAAGTATGTCATATTCAGGATGATAATTCAGTAAGCCTACTTTAAGAATTTGAGCTAGGTTGCTGACACTTTCTTCTTGTCATGTGTATTTACCACATTCAGCTTTGAAGAATGACACAAGGCATTTTCACATGAAGTTAATAAAAGTAATTATTCCTGTTGCAAAAGAGTAGAAGATAATGGTTCATATATAATAATAGCTTAATGTCTGGCTCTGTATTAAGTATTTCCAATTTATAAAATTAAGATGTTGGGCTAGTAGTGTAGCTCAATATCACAGTTTTTCCCTTGCATGTTCAAGTCCCTGGTTTTGATCCTCATTGCCACAAAGCAAAACAAAACAGCATGTAAAGCCAAGTAGGGTCTAAGGTCTGCAAATAACTATTTTTGGGAAGTCCTCTTAATAACAATTTCTTTTCTTTTTTTGTATTTTAGAGAAGGGTCTACAGGGTGTTCAGGGTCTCACTACTAGATGGGACTCGTAGTGATCTGCCTGTTTACAACCTCCGAAGAGCTGGGGTTACAGGCGCATGCCACCATGCCCAGTCTCAATTGCCTTCTCAGGGCACCTGGGGGCAGGACTAGCACAGCAGGCCCAGGGATTGAACCCCTCCACCCCTGCGCCTGCTTGCAGGCACTTTAATCCACTGAGCTATTTGGGCGACCCAACAATTTCTTTCTTAGGCTTAATCTGATTATAGAATTCTATAGTGAAATGCCTGAAAGTAGAAATTATCTATACACACACATTGGGGATTGAGCTCAAGGCCTTTGAATTGACAGAATCTTGGTAAATCACTAAATTGCTAGGCTAAGCCTGAACTTTTAATCATCCTAGTTTACCTTCCCAGGGTTCTGGATTACAGGTTTGTGCCATCAGGCCCACTTTTATTTATTTATTTATTTAGTTAGTTTTTTTTTGCAGTACCAGGGATTGAACTCAGGATCTTGTGCTTGCCAGGCAAGTGCTTATTCTACTGAGCTATCTCCCCAGCCCTCAGGCCTACTTTAAAAATCATCATTGGAACAAGAAAACTTAGTAGAAACAAGCCTATTTATTGTATATTTTTATTTGAAACAAGCCTATTTAGAGAGGTGCAGTCTCAGTCTTTTGAGATTATGGCCTAACAGTAAATCTTCACAGGTGCTCTCATCATATCTGGATTCTAATATTTTCATTTTCTTCTATTCTTTGTCAGTTTCCTCCACTGACTGAACCTGTGTCCTTCTGTCAAACTTTTGCTTTTGTTTTTTGAGATAGGGTCTTGCTGTGCAGTTCAAGTTGGACTTCAACTGACCATGTATCCCAGGCTGGCCTTAAACTCACAGTAATCTTTCTGCTTCAGCCTCCCAAGTGCTAGGATTACAGGTATGTACCAGCATGCCTGGCCCTTGTGTCAAACTTTGTTTTTTGTTTTTTTTTTTAAATATTTATTTATTTATTTATTTATTGTGTGTGTGTGTGTGTGTGTGTGTGTGTGTGTGGCCAGCTCAGCCCACCAGGGGGTGGGGCTGGCTGGCATGTGGTGCTGGGGGATTGAACCGCGGTCCCTGTGTTTTGCTTAGCTTAGCTTGTTCTAAGTTGGTGCTTTAGACCACTGAGCCATCTCACCAGCCCCTTGTGT